CGGGGGAGCGCACCGTACAATGTGACAGGGGAGCGCACCGTACAATGTGACAGGGGAGCGCACCGTACAATGTGACAGGGGAGCGCACCGTACAATGTGACGGGGGAGCCCACCGTACCATGTGACGGGGGAGCGCACCGTACAATGTGACAGGGGAGCGCACCATACAATGTGACAGGGGAGCGCACCATACAATGTGACAGGGGAGCGCACCATACAATGTGACAGGGGAGCGCACCATACCATGTGACAGGGGAGCCCACCATACCATGTGACAGGGGAGCCCACCATACCATGTGACAGGGGAGCCCACCATACAATGTGACAGGGGAGCCCACCATACCATGTGACAGGGGAGCCCACCATACCATGTGACAGGGGAGCGCACCATACAATGTGACAGCAATACTAATACATTATGTTTTTATTTGGATACATTTGTTGCAACCACAAGACTTCTTCTTCTTCTCCTAAATCACAAGCAGACTGTATGTATACATGAGACACCGAACGTGAGGACCCGGCCACAAGACATCATTGCCATGCAGTATTACTAGCCGCACCATCCGCTTTCTTCCAAAAGAGAGATCATTTTCATATGGAAAAATATTTTCGGATATACAGTTGTGTTCAAAATACTATCAGTCAGACATCACTAACCGGATCAATCACTGTTTTTGGTGGAAATGATATTTCTACATGGCAAATAATTTCCTAGCAGGTGTAGTAGAGTCATAGAAATCCAACAGACCCGACAATCATGACATGCATGCTGCTGATTCTGTGTCATTGATTCACTCATTGAAAGGGGCGTGTTCACAATAATAGCCGTGTGGAGTTCTATTAGTGAGGTCATTCATTCTTTGATAAACAGGTGGCAATTATTGCCCTTATTTAAGGAAGGAAGGCAGCAAATGTTGGACATGCTGGTTACAGTGCATTTCTCTCTGAAATTCTGAGGAAAATGGGTCGTTCCAGACACTGTTCAGAAGAACAGCGTACATTGATTAAAAAGTTGATTGGAGGGGAAAACATATAAAGAAGTGCAGAAAATGATTGGCTGCTCAGCTAAAATGATGGCAAATGCTTTAAAATGGCAACCAAAACCTGAAAGAGCGGAAGAAAGCGAAAAACTACCATTGGAATGGATAGAATAGCCAAAATGGGGCGGACTCAGCCAACAATCAGCTCCAGGAAGATGAAAGAAGGTGTGACGTTCCCTGTGAGGACTCAGCCAACAATCAGCTCCAGGAAGATGAAAGAAGGTGTGACGTTCCCTGTGAGGACTGTTACAATTAGAAGACGTCTATGTGAAGCCAAGCTATCTGCAAGAAGTCCCCGCAAAGTCCCACTGTTGGGAAAAAGACGTGTGCTGAAGAGGTTACAATCTGCCAAAGAGCACATTGACTGGCCTAAAGAGAAATGACGCAACATTTTGTGGACTGATGGAAGTAAGATTGTTCTTTTTGGGTCTAGTGGGCGGAGACAGTTTGTCAGACGACCCCCAAACACTGAATTCAAGCCACAGTACACTGTGAAGACCGTGAAGCATGGCGGTGCAAGCATCATGATATGGGGATGTTTCTCATACTACGGTGTTGGACCTATTTATCACATACCAGGGATCATGGATCAGTTTGAATCCATCAGAATACTTGAAGAGGTCATGCTGCCTTATGCTGAAGAGGAAATGCCCTTGAAATGGGGGTTCCAACAAGACAACGACCCCAAACACACCAGTAAACGTGCAACATCTTGGTTCCAGACCGACAAGATGGACGTTATGGAGTGGCCAGCCCAATCCCCGGATCTTCATCCAATAGAAAACTTGTGGGGTGACATCAAAAATGGCGTTTCTGAGGCCAAACCAAGAAATAGAGAAGAACTGTAGAATGTGGTCCAATCATCCTGGGCTGGAATACCTGATCACAGGGGCCAGAAGTTGGGGGACTCCATGCAACACAGATGTACAGCAGTTCTCAGAAACAGTGCGACTACAACCAAATATTCATGAAGTCATTCAAAGGAAAGCAAAATCTTCAAACATTTCTCAGTTTATATAGTGAATGAGTTTGTAAAGGAGAATACAAACACGGCCATCTTTTTGAACAATCTAATATTTATTTATTTATTTCAGGTACTTATATAGCGCTGTCAATGTATGCAGTACTTTACATATATATTGAAAATTCACATCAGTCCCCACCCCCGAGGGGCGCACAACCTAAGGTCCCTAACTCACATTCATACATACACATATTAGGGCCAATATAGACAGGAGCCAATTAACCTACCAGCATGTCTATGGAGTGTGGGAGGAAACCAGAGCACCCAGAGGAAACCCACACAAGCACAGGGAGAACATGCAAACTCCATGCAGGAGGCGCCATTTACTGCAAGGCAGACGTACTAACCACTAACCCCCAATATTCACTTTTCTTCCATTTTTTTTAGAGGAAAAACACAAATGTGATGTATTTTTCTTCATGTTGTGATTTGGAATAGAATGTGTCGTGTTCCCAATGCATTTGTGTGGATGGAAATAAAAGCTATTAGAAGGATTTTCAGCTTTATTCACTTTTTTCAACACACTGCTATTATTTTGAACACAATTGTATGTAATGTAATTTCTCCCTTTATTCTGGGACATCCCAGCTTCAGAAAGGCAATATGTGTAAAATGTCGCTTTAGATGTCAGAAGTCAAGTACAGAGCAAGCTGTGACAAAAAGAATGCTGGCAACCTTGCAGGTCACGGCTCATGCGCAGATTTTTTATCTGTAAAACGATCGGCCGATTTGCCCATCATTGCCGGGAAAAATCGGGTGCAAAAAAACCTGAAAAACGACCGACCAATTAACCCACTAACGGTGAGAAAATTGGCCGATTTTTGACCTGTCTATGGCCGGCATAGATGTACAGTTGCAAGAAAAAGTATGTGAACCCCTTGGGATTACGTGGAGTTTTGCATGAATTGGGCATAAAATGTGCTCTGAACGTCATCTAAGTCACAACAATAGAAGAACACAGTCTGCTGAACATAATACTACACAAACATTAGATGTTGCCATGGTTTATTTGCACAGAACATGTAAACATTCACAGTGCAGGGAGGAAAAAGTATGTGAGGCCCTAGCTTAATGACTTCTCCCAGAGCTAATTGGAGCCAGGAGTGAGCCAACCTTGACTCCAATCAGTGTGATGATATTGGATGTGTTGCTGACACCTGTTTTGGGTTTACTGGTTCTAAGAAGCACTGTCTGATGTGAACCATGCCTCGCAGAAAAGAGCTCTCAGAAGACCTACCATCAAGAATTGTTGACTTGCATGAAGCTGGAAAGGGTTACAAAAGTATCTCCAAAAGCCTTGATGTTCATGTGTCCACGGTAAGACAGACTGTCTACAAATGGAGAAAGTTTAGCACTGTTGCTACTCTCCCTAGGCGTGGTCGTCCTGTAAAAATGACTGCAAGAGCACAGCGCAGAATGCTGCATGAGGTAAAGAAGAATCCCAGAGTGTCAGCTAAAGACCTACAGAAATCTCTGGCACATGCTAACATTTTTGTTGACACATCTACAATAAGGAAAACATTAAACAAGAATGGAGTACATGGGAGGACACCACGGAGGAAGCCATTGCTGTCCAAAAAGAAGATTGCAGCACGTTTGAAGTTTGCAAAAGAGCACCTGGATGTTCCACAGCACTACTGGCAAAATATACTGTGGACAGATGAAACCAAGATTGAGTTGTTTGGGAAGAACACACAACACTATGTGTGGAGAAAAAAAGGCACAGCACACCAACATCAAAACCTCATCCCCACTGTGAAACATGGCGGAGGGAGCATCATGGTTTGGGGCTGCTTTGCTGCCTCAGGGCTGGACGGATTGTTGTCATTGATGGGAAAATGAATTCCAGAGTTTATCAAGACATTTTGCAGGAAAACGTACGACCATCTGTCCGCCAACTGAAGCTCTGCAGAGGATGGGTGATGCAACAGGACAATGACCCAAAGCATACAAGTCATTCAACAAAACAATGGCTGCAACAGCACAGAATACGCCTTCTGGAGTGGCCCAGTCAGAGTCCTGACCTCAACCCCATTGAAATGCTGTGGCATGACCTTAAGAGAGCGATTCACACCAGACATCCCAAGAATATTGCTACACTGAAACAGTTTTGTGAAGAGGAGTGGTCCAAAATGACTCCAGATCGTTGTGCAGGTCTGATCTGCAACTACAGAAACGTTTGGTTGAGGTTATTGCTGCCAAAGGAGGGTCAACCAGTTATTAAGTCCAAAGGTTCACATACTTTTTCCTCCCTGCACTGTGAATGTTTACATGTTATGTGCAATTAAACCATGGCAACATCTAATGTTTGTGTAGTATTATGTTCAGCAGACTGTGTTCTTCTATTGTTGTGACTTAGATGACGTTCAGAGCACATTTTATGCCCAATTCATGCAAAACTCCATGTAATCCCAAGGGGTTCACATATTTTTTCTTGCAACTGTAGAGTTGGGAAGGTTTCGCCTTTACTTCCACTTTATTCCGGAATATTCACGTTCTTTTTTGCCAATCTTGAAAAGACATGACACGGCAAACGTGACACTTTATCTGCTACAGAGCTGCTGCTTCCACCTCCAGAAGACAGTGAGAGCGCAGCGTTCTACCAAAGAGGTCGCCCACTGAAAGCGTGTACTAGATTGTGTGTGAATGGCTGAAGGGGGGGGGGGGGGCGGGATAATAGAATCTAGGTATTCCATACAAATGTCTCATTCCACCCCAAGTCATTCACTCCTGACACACAGCAAAGTCCTCCTCACAGTGAGAACCAAATTCAAATGGGAGACTTGAGATGCCGGATCAGAGATGATAATCATGTACATCCTGTGAGCAGCTCACAGTGTGCAGTGACATCAGAGGAAGCTATCTCAGTCCAGGAGAGGGAGAAGCCAGTACAACTGTGCAAGACTGAAGGGGAGGACCAGGCACACCTGTGCAAGACTGAAGGGGAGGAGCCGGTACACCGGTGCAAGACTGAGGGGGAGGAGCCGATACACCTGTGCAAGACTGGAGGGGAGGAGCCAGTACACCTGTGCAAGACTGGAGGGGAGGAGCCGATACACCTGTACAACACTGGAGGGGAGGAGCCGGTACAACTGTATAAGACTGAAGGGGAGGAGCCGGTACAACTGTGCAAGACTGAAGGGGAGGAGCTGGTACACCTGTGCAAGACTGAAGGGGAGGAGCCGGTACACCTGTGCAAGACTGGAGAGGAGGAGCCGGTACACCGGTGCAAGACTGAGGGGGAGGAGCCGATACACCTGTGCAAGACTGGAGGGGAGGAGCCAGTACACCTGTGAAAGACTAAAGGGGAGGAGCCAATACACCTGTACAACACTGGAGGGGAGGAGCCGGTACAACTGTGTAAGACTGAAGGGGAGGAGCCGGTACAACTGTGCAAGACTGAAGGGGAGGAGCCGGTACACCTGTGCAAGACTGAAGGGGAGGAGCTTGTACAACTGTGCAAGAATGGAGGGGAGGAGCCGGTACACCTGTGCAAGACTGGAGGGGAGGAGCCGATACAACTGTGCAAGGCTGAAGGGGAGGAGCCTGTACACCTGTGCAAGACTGAAGGGGAGGAGCAGGAATACCTGTACAAGACTGGAGGGGAGGAGACGGTACACCTGTGCAAGACTGGAGGGGAGGAGCCTGTACACCTGTACACCTGTGCAAGACTGAGGCGGAGGAGCAGGAATACCTGTACAGCACTGGAGGGGAGGAGGCGGTACACCTGTGCAAGACTGGAGGGGAGGAGCCAGTACACCTGTGTAAGACTGAAGGGGAGGAGCCAGTACACCTGTGCAAGACTTGAGGGGAGGAGCCGGTACACCTGTGCAAGACTGGAGGGGAGGATCCGAAACACCTGTGTAAGACTGGAGGGAAGGCGGGTGCTTAGCTTTAACTAGTTGCCGACCGCAGATAGCTGAATGACGGCTGCACTGTGGCCAGCCAGTTCTGGCAGGGCGTCATATGACGTCCTCCCAAAACGCGCTCTCCTGCGTGCCCCCAGGGGCGCGCACCCGGCGATCTCTATGCATGCTGTGTCCTGCGGACACAGCTGATCATGTGATGTGGTAAAAGGCCAATCACAGCGGCCTTTTACCACGTGATCACAGGGCAATGCAATTGCCGGTTCTCGGCTGCACTTTCCTCACGCTGTCAGAGCACGAAGAAAGTACTGCCGTGAACCGGCAGTTGTCAGAGCACTGATGATCGGTGCCCTGGTGATCGGTGCCCAGCAGTGCCACTCACCAGTTCCGCCCACCTGTGCACAGCAGTGCCACCCACCTGTGCCCAGCAGTGCACCCACCTGTGCCCAGCAGTGCCACCCACCAGTGCCCATCAGTGCAGCCCAGCAGTGCCACCAGTCAGTGCCCAGCAGTTGCGCCAGTCAGTGCCCAGCAGTGCCACCAGTCAATGCTCAGCAGTTGTGCCAGTCAGTGCCTAGCAGTGCCACCAGTCAGTACCACCTATCAGTGCCGCCTATCAGTGCCACCTTATTAGTGCTGCCTATCAGTGCCGCCTATCAGTGCCCATCAGTGCTGCCTATCAGTGCCCATCAGTGCCGCCTATCAGTGCCACCTATCAGTGCTGTTTATCAGTACAGCCTCATCAACGCACATCAGTGAAGGAGAAAAATGACCTGTTTGCAAAATTTTATAATAGAAACAAAGAAACTTTTTTTTCAATTTTTTTACTCTTTTCTTGTTTATAGTGCAAAAAAGTAAACCCCCAGCGGTGAGTAGATACCACCAAAAGAAAGCTCTATTAGTGAGAAAAAAATTATAAAACTTTCATATGGATACAATGTTGCATGACAGAAATGTAAAGATCGCTCTGGTCCATAGGGGTGTACAGGGGGAGAGCTGAACGGGTTCAATATAACTCCCACTGTTATGTGTTGCTCCTGCGGTGGCAGTGACACTACTATGCAGCCCAAGGGTCCCTTGACACCCTCACAAATGATGTGCTGGACCCTGTTCTCTGGCATGTTCTATTATGACAACACTATGATTCTATTTTACACCCTGGATGTGATTGTTATTAATGTAACTCCATCATAGCACTAATTATGGAAATTGTATGACACCTAAAGCGGTTTTAAACTCTCAGTTTTTTCAGCTGCTGATTTAATCCCTTACTGAGAACGCAGCTCCTTTTTTCATTCTATCCTCGCCGATGTTCCAGTGTAAGCTGTCGCCATGACCTCTACCCCCTGGCTTCCTGCTTCAGGGTGGCTCCTCCTCCCCACAACCGTGGCCGGTGGTTGTGGGGGTCTGCAGGTGGGGGCTTATCGGAATCTGGAAGCCCCCATTAACAAGCTGGCCCCCAGATCCCGGCCCCTCCCCTCCATGTGAATGAGTATGGGGTACATGGTACTGCTACCCATTCACAAAAAAAAAAGAGTAGTAAAAAATGATAGAAGACAGTGTTTGACAAGTCCTGTTTTTTAAAAAACAAAAATAGAAAATGTCCCCCAAGGTAGATCCAACGCCTATGCCTGAAAAAGAAAAAAAAAACGCTCCACTCTCAATCAGTGGTAAATTTAGGTTTTGTGCTCCCCTAGGCAACACAAAAATCAGACCCCCTCCCTGTCGGAGAGAGCCAGACATCGACCAACACCAGACCCCCCCCTCCTCGGCCATGGATAGAACCTGACAGTGACTGTCAAGACCCCTGCCCTATCCCCACCCCCAACCAAGAGAGCCTTCCACTAATGCCTACCCCCCTGCCGGCAACAGAAAGAAAAACACTCACCTTCACAGATCAGGACATCCCCGTGAGCGACAATCGGGCTCTGCATACACCATCAAGCAGCCCACAGCCTCTCTCGGATCCCACCTGATCCCCATGCCGTATATGTCCTTTCTTCTGGGTGGTAGTGCTGCCCCCCCCTAAAAATGCCGCCCTAGGCAAATGTCTTGTTTGCCTTGTGGTAAATACGCCCCTTCTCTCAATGCTGCCTCCCGCCGTCTGGCAGCTGAGCTGGCATGATAGTTCTTAAATACTGTGATGATGTCATAAGGGGGCGAGGTTACCCCCTCCCCTTGTGACGTCGTAATGCGCTGTGAATGGCCAAAGCATTGCACCGACCTGTGGTCAGGTGCGTTGCTTTGACCAATCACAATGCACTGTCATGACCCAATGCATCGTGGGGCACGGCAGGCAAACAGGCTGCCGAACGCCCTTACCGTTCATGTGTTCATGTGTTCAAGCCCATCAGTAGTAGCCACCCCCCGACAGGAAGTTGGATCATAGCAGGAATTTGGAGATTTGGAGGAAGCTGAGAGCAAAATAATAAACGTTTCTGAGATTAGAATATACACTTGAATAATATTTTTTTAAAACCAGAATTTAGTAGCACTTTAACTCTTTCCTGTGAAGACCAGAAGTTCAGGGAAGCAGCACAGAGAGAGCAGGAAGCAGCTGCATTGAAATGTTTAATTTATTGTGCTCAATGTGTTAATTTAAAAAACATTGAGGGTTTAATGTAGTAAATGGGGGGGGAGGGGGTTGCTTTTATAACACAACGTCTGGCTGTGTCGTATATGTGGCAGCATTTATAGATGAGTAAAAATAATCGCATAAATCCTGCTTACAAATGATCTATTTTTCCCCTTAAAACGGATGATTGCAGTGAACAAGCTGATGGTGTTTCCAGTCTATACGTTATCCATTATCCACAGAGAATGAGGCATTTACTACAAATCCATAGCTGTTATATGATCTCAGTCCTGCTTCCCCATACACATCCCAGCCACATATTCTGATTATTCCGCACACAGGGGACAATGGAGGTATACTGCCATCTGTTGGCTGCCGCTATAATGCAGCTCGTCCCCCAGCTGCAATGATTTCCACCCCTGTTCCAAGGACAAACAAACTATCTGTCTTCCCAGGTTGAGGCCATGGTGCCTGTTCATAAAAGGAGGGTGTCGCCTCGAAGAGACTCTGCTCCAGAAATATGGAGAATGGGATAACATGCATCAAGGGAGCCGTGTCGCGGTGTGACTTTCACATAATGCCTGTTACAAAGTCATTAGAGGCTGCGATTTGTCTTCCCAAACGCATTGCTCAGTATTTTGTTCTTTTTTTTTAAAGAAACAGATTGGAAGAAAATGGAAATGCACTTCCTGGCATGTAAGGATGCCTAGGCTCTCCAGGACCGACAACCTCATACTGGGAAAATTGTTTCATATGCAGTGCCCCTCTAGTCAGCCAGGGGGAGCTAGCTAGGTTTTTCAGTTAGAGGCTAGATAGCAGCCTGGTATGAGTCAGCCTGGTAACTTTAGGTCAGGGCTGAGGGCTCTGCTGGTCAGTTCCCTGATACCTCCCCCTGCTCTAGAAGCTTGAGAAGTTTCTAGAAGGTAGTGGGTGGGAGGGGCTGATCTGAAGTGGGAGACTTGGCATGGGTTCAGGGTAGCCCTTAAGAATGGGAGAGCCTGACCAGGAAGTGGTGAGTGTTGGGTAGAAGATGGAGTGAGAAGGCTGGAGTGTGGAGCCTGGGAGGGGGCTCAGGGAATGGCCTACCTACAGGCAGGATCTTGGAAGGAAGATCTCTCAGCCTCAACCATCCCCTGAGAGAGGACAACCTGAGAAGCAGGGAAGGAGTCAGCCCAGCATAAGGCCTGAAGGCAGCCACCAACACAACAACTAGATAGCAGCTTGGTATGAGTCAGCCCAGTAACTTTAGGTTAGGGCTAAGTGTTCTGCGTGTCAGTTCCCTGATACCTCCCCCTGCTCTAGAAGCTTGAGAAGTTTCTAGAAGGTAGTGGGTGGGAGGAGCTGATCTGCATGTTCAGGGGACTAATCCCCAAACAGGAGACTTAGCATGGGTTCAGGGTAGCCCTTAAGTATGGGAGAGCCTGACCAGGAAGTGGTGAGTGTTGGGTGGAAGATGGAGTGAGAAGGCTGGAGTGTGGAGCCTGGGAGGGGGCTCAGGGTGTGGCCTACCTACAGGCAGGATCTTGGAAGGAGGATCTCTCAGCCTCAACCATCCCCTGAGAGAGGACAACCTAGGAAGCAGGGAAGGAGCCAGCCCAGCATAAGGCCAGAAGGCAGCCACCAACACAACAAGCTTACAGGACAGGACCGAATGAGTGATCCTGCACCCCCCTGGGCCGGATAAGGGGAGAGGGCAGTCGGGTGGCAAACCCAACTAGCTCCTTGTCTGGGGATGCTCTACTACAGTGGCAGTTTCTGGGTCCCCTTACTCAGAGATTCCCTCAGGAAGCTGGGTGGAGAGGAGGATTCATCTGGCCTCTGAGGAGGTATACCAGAAGCCCAGTTGAAA